CCCCGGAAAAGCGGGGGGGGGGGCACTTCCAAAGTTGAATAAATCAGGGATTTTTTGGATGGGTTTCTTTTTTCACCTTATGTGTTTTTAATGTGGCTTGTTCTACTTTTTACAGTATTCTTAAGGGGAATGCCATGAACTTGCTAATTAAGTGAAAGTAAGGGGTTATCCCTAATTAAAGAGGGGGTGGCTAGTTGTTTTTAGCAGGGATGGGTGAAGAAAAAAGGTTGCTGAGCCTTTTGGGAGGTGTTAGGGTTAAAGGGTGAGGATGCAAAGTATCTAATGCAAGATAATGCCTCTTTTGAGGAGGAGGTGAGCAAAGATTTTAAAGTGGGAAGGGAGTGTGCATTATACTGAATGTGCGTTTAGATCAGTGCTTCCCAACCTTGAGTCACCATATGTTCTTGGACTGTAAATCCCAGAAATCCTTGTCAGTACAGCTAGTGGTGAAGGCTTCTGGGAATTTTAGCCCATGAACATTTGGGGATCCAAGGTTGGGAACCATTGTAAGGAAGCATGTTTACTTAGCATGTGGTGTTCTGAGCTCACCAGGGCTTCATACGAAGCAAATATGTCTTTGGTCTGCATGTATTGGCATAGTGGAGAGATGAGGAAGGTTCCTCTAGATCAGTGGTCCCAAACCTTGGGCCTCCAGATGTTCTTGGACTACAACTCCCAGAAGCCTTGCTGGCCAGAATTTCTGGGAGTTGAAGGGCAAGAACATCTGGAGGCTCAAGGTTGGGGGCCACTGCTCTAGAAGTAGTTGGACAACAACTTACATTAGCCTCTTGGCCCTATCTGCACTGACTAAGCATTGTGGTAGCTGCAATCTAGGGGAAAAATATTTCCACACCTTAGCAAAGTATATATTGCAAAATAGTGATTAAAAACAAAAATCCTGTCTTACATTGTTTGCTGGGAGGCAGACCTTTAAAGAAACACAGATAGCTCTGAGTGCTGGTGAATTTCCCTTGTATAATGTGAGCTATCTTTGCAGTAAATGTAGGTCACTGTTGCTGTCCCTGTAATTATAAATGGGGGTGGGAGAGGTGCACCAAGGAGAAAAAGAGTGAGACCAAAGAGAATTTGCCTAAGGCCACTCGGGTAATTTATTTGTGGCTTCTCTGAGGTTAGTACTTCTCTGCCTGGACTCATATGAGCTTAACAGCTACTCTGCAGTTGTGGGAACTACTAGCATGAGCCCAGGCAAGGTTGTAGAAGACCAAGATTCAGACAGCAGCTGCTTTTCCAGTTGTAGTCTCTTGCCCTGTGCCCTGCCTCTTTTCATGTTGCTAGTTGGGATCTTCATTTTATTTCGGAACAAATTTGCTCTACCTGCCGGCCTGTAAGGCTTAATCGCCTGTGATTGATGGTTTGAGGCCACCATTGGCAAAGTGTAGGTCTTGGGCAGCAGGCAAAGAAATGGTGAATCCCTGGGCCAGAGTAAGTATGGTAGGTATCTGTAGCTGTACTTTCCCTTTCCCTCTTGCTTGCTTTTGAAAGATGGAAACATGAAGTTTGGGGGCTCACAGTTTAGTTCTCTACCTGTTAAGTCTACGGCTTGTGATTTTAAAAGTCTTTCCTCTTGCAAGGAGCTGTCATGGGTGCCCAGCCTGTGTTATAGGGCTTAATTTTGTTAATATTTATGGAAGTAAACTACTAATGATATTGATGGGAGATTTGGGAAAATAGGGTATTACCTGAAAGAACGGATACTGCTTTTGACAACTTTGGGGGACTGTTTTTGAAATGAACTGTTGCTCTTTGTTTCTAGAAATCACGAAGAGGCCAATCCTGAGTGCTGACCTCCATCTTATGCCAAAGCAGCAAATTAGCACAGTTGTGTGTGCATGTTCTAGTATAGAAAAGAAACAACTTTGTGGGCTAAATAGGATTTAGTTACTGCACCATAATAGAACCTCCCAAGCATTTGGTGTTCAGAAACTAAGAGCATCGAAGAACATAGTAGCCATACAGAGTACAAACCAAATGGCAAGATTTTCCAGCAAGATTTGGAACTGGACTTTTTTATTCTATACATCTTGCCTTTCCTGATTCCTCCTTCCCTGTGTGTTCCTGTGGTGGTGTTGTTTTTTTTTAACTACTGGTTTTAACAACCCAGCTATTTATTTTAGAATTATTTAATTTGGTCTGTCACCTGCTAGGTTAGGTGTCAGGAACTTGCTGTCGCCTGAATGGACAGGGACACTTTTGCTTACTCCACTAAGTTTTTTCGTGACTATAGTGGCCCAACTCGGGGTGCAAGCTGCCAGAGTCACGAACATGTTGACTACATTGAAAAACCGGAAGTGTTCACTTACGCAGACTTCTTTAAGGATTACTTGATCCCCAATGACCCCTGTGTTTTCTCAGCAAAATTCACGGAGGGCTGGGGCAGCAGGAGAAAATGGGTGACTCCAGATGGGAAGCCTAACTTTGAATATCTCCTGCGGACATTTGGTAAGCCAGTTTTAAACATAAAAGTGCTAGTTGTTGTTGTCTGAAATTATTGCTCGGTTAGTTTTCAGTGTGTCTTTGCCATTTACCAGAGATCCACCAATAGATGGTGAAAAATCTTCACAGCCGTGTCCCTTTAAATGCAGTCCTTTGTATATTTACTCAGAGGACTCATTTAACATGCTCTTGAGTATATGTACGTAGAATTGTAGCCTTGGTCTCTGAACTGTGTATTTTTGGCCACAATACCTTTTTCCCCACTCACCCCTCTTTCTAGGTTCAGACCTTTGAAGCAGAGGCTTGTGCTGGTATTCACTGTCCAGCAATAACCTTCCACTCTAGCTACCGTGTTTCCCCAAAAATAAGACAGGGTCTTACATTAATTTTTGCTCCAAAAAACATATTAGGGCTTATTTTCAGGGGATGTTTTATTTTACAGTCATGTCATCTTCAGGTTGCTGCATAATGCTGCACAATGGTGGAGGGAAGGGTTTCACTTTACTAGAGCTTATTTTCAGATTAGGGCTTATTTTCGGGGAAACCAGAGTATGTTTTAGTATGTATTGTTCTGCTCTTTGAATTCCACACACCTGCTCCAAACCAAAGAAAGTAGCAGAGACTTCTCTCATCTGCTTCATCCCAGAGCGCTGAAACTCTCACCAAGCCAACAGTGGGGAGCAGGAATGTGAGCTCCTCATTTTTACTGAAACAGAATCCACTAAAATGTGGTGATCTGCTGTTCTAACTCTGTTCAAAGCAAAATATGTTGCCTTTCCTAGCAATGTCCCCGGGTGCCTTGCTGTAAAATATGATCAGTGACCAGAAAGGTCGTACTGTGCCGCTGTTTCAGAATGTTATGCACTGGGTAGGTTTCTAAGAACAGATGGAAGAAGCATTTGTCAGGCCTCTCTTAGAGGCAGGAAGTCTTGCTTTGTGGAAATGCTTCATCACCAACAGCCACAAAGCATGCACATGGATTCCTTCCAGAGGTGAATCTGTATGATGTATTCGTGCTTGACAACTTTAGTACAAAGTAGAGTGATTCTTAAAAAAACATTTCAATCAGCAATTTTGATTTCGGTGGAAATCTCTCAAGTGCAGGTGTAATAAATTACTCAGCAGCATCTGTGCAGCACTTGTGATTGTTCAAAGCATTTTTGCCAACAGTATAATGTAATCCGTTTTGTAAATCCTCAGAGGTGGATCACTGTTATCTTTGCATTTTGCTTGTGGGCACTGTGCCAGTTAACTTCTCTCTCGGCTAAGAAGCCGTACAACAATTATTCTCATGTCCACTGCAACATTGCATAACATGTAGAAGTGTATCTCATTGATGAATGATTGAACTGGCAGGCCCACCGCCCCTTACACTCTTTTATTGGTAACCCCAACAGGGCATCAGTTGTTTTCCCAAGTGGGCTCAAAGAGTTTATATTACAGGGGAGGCTGTAGTACCTGTTGCCAACTGTGATGTCAAGGAATACAATTCTAACCCAAAGGAACATCTTAAACTCAAGGAGTACATAAATTACTGGAAAGAACACATTAAAAAAGGCTATCGATCACCCCGGGGCTGCCTTTACCTCAAGGATTGGCATCTGCACAGGTAACCAAAGGGTAATTCTTCAGCATGCTGTTTGGGAGTCTAGCATGGTGCTGAATTGCATCGCTGCTCTCATTTCCTGACGATGCATGTTGGTAGGTCACCCTTTCATAGTAGTTGCCTGATCCAAACTTCTGCTGCCTACATAGCAACAGCTGTGACTGTATGATGGGGGTTATAACTGATATGTAATGCTAGCCTAGTTTGTATTTCTTTGCATGTATGTGCCTGACATTGTTTGCGTTGGATGTATTGAGTGCATATTTCCCCTTTATCCCAAGTCTGCATGCTTTTGACTTAATGGAGGAGTTCCTGCTGGGAGTGATTTTCTTCTCTGCACTGTGCCCTTTTCCTCATCTTCACGTGTTTGCTTAATTGTTCTGGCACAAGTAATGAATCAGTAGGGGAACCTATTGAGGAACAAGGAGTGCAAGATAACTATAGGCTTCATCAGTGCTTAACAATTGCAGTAATACCCTTAGGGAGACTTTTGCCCTCCCTGTTTCTGGTTGTGCTGAATATGGGAACAGGAAAACTGGACAGGCTTTAAACACTGTGCAATTTGATTCAGCAGGGCAGGACTTCCAAATGCATCCCCAAATCTCATCACAAGGACTGCACGGTCAGCATCTTCGGTGGCTCTTTGCATTCTTTTCCCCTCACTTTCTTGCTGGGGAACCTGCCCTAATCCTTGAAATAACTTGATGCCTATTAGCTTATCTTAATAATTATGGGGTCTTTGAAATATATGTATAACAAAGCTGTATTCTTTTTCATTTGTTTTTCCCCTCTGTCCATTAAATGCATTAAAAATGCCAACAGTCTGATCTTGTCTCTGGCCGCAAATGTGATTCTTCAAAAGAGGATCAGATACAGTAATTACAATATTATTTCCCCCTGATATCAGACTTTATAGAGTTATCCCTTAAATTCCTATAATTGATCAGTGTTGCAGGTTGGTTGCTGTGGGGCAGTGTTACCTGTCCTTACTCCAGAATGTTGAAAAGAGGGTACTGTGGTCGTAGAGCTGCTAGGGACTAAGAGTGTGTGCTGGAGGAATACCGATTCCACATAAGTCTGAAAGCCAAGTGTGGAGGAGCTCCTCTTTGAAATTCCATGTTGGGAACAGAAAGCTCTGATCCCTGGTTGGGAAGGCAGCTGAATCATGCACTAACCTTCACTGGTTCTAGCTCATTTTTTGGGAAGGCAGCTGAATCATGCACTAACCCTGTTCATTCACTGGTTCAAGCTTATTTCCTGGGTTAGCTCACTTTTCCTTCCAGATCTTGATATATTAGCTCACTTTTCCTTCCAGATCTTGATACAGTATTCACAGAGATACAAAATTGGGCAGTCAATATCATATTTATCTTCTAATCACGAAACAAAGCAGGCTGGACCACAAGATACTGAGGTGAGACAAACAGATGTCTTTGGCTAGCTCATGGAGCACCAGTTATGAATACAAGCTAAGCATGTCATGTGACTAGGCCCTCCGTGTCCAAGGGCCGATCCACCTGTTACAGTGGGTTGTTCCTAACACCCACAGCTGGCTGCCTAGCATCTCCATTTGTTGAACAGTGTAACACGTCATATGATAGCTAATAAGCCATACCAGATGTATATTCTGAGTTCTCCAGAACTCTGAAATACTTTCTCAAGATCAAAAGCTCTTCCTTGGCTGGGATTCCTGAGCTGCCAAAGCATCAGGTGCTCTCTCAAGAGTATGATATCTAAAACTGTGTCAGAATCTGGGACAAACGCATTCAAGGTAGCTGTTTTAGTAAGTAAATAATGATGCATTCAGACCTAGAGACTACTTTCCTTCCGTGCTGTTGTATACATTTTGAAAGGACCTTGTGGGTACCTATTTCTCTCTGAGTTGCATTTTTCAATCCTTTCTCTTTAAGGGCCTTCCCAGAGCAAGATGTTTATACCATTCCTGTCTATTTCTCATCTGACTGGCTGAACGAATACTGGGATGCCATAGCAGTGGATGATTATCGTTTTGTTTACATGGGACCTAAAGGTTCATGGTACCGTCAGTTTCCTCTCTAGAAAGATTGCTTATGCTAAAATAGGAGGTAGAACATGTGGCTTGGTTCAGTGGGACTTATGTCTGATTCCATGCATTGCATAGAAATAAGCTGATAACTTGTGTTTTGGAGTAAAATGAAGATAGCACACTTCACAATTATGTTCTCCATAGTCTTTGTCTGTTTTTTTAAAATTTAGGACAAAGTAATGGCATTCCTCCACTCTAAAAGTATGTGACCGAGAGGGTGTTCAACTCTTTGTGTGCTTGTTTTAGTTATTTAATCCCTGTAATACCAAGCCATGAGAAACTGCTAGAGACGTTCTTAGAGGGGGCTTTTAAAAAAATCTTCATAGGCTGCTCAGCAAGTTCGAGACTTTTCACAACAAAACCAGTCTAAGTTTGGAATATGTGTGCAGAAAAGACTATCTGGGGTGTCTAGCATGACTTTGTTCATTTACAGGATGAAAAGTCTTTGTTAATTGCTTTGACGTGTAAAAGATGAAGGTCCATGGATGTCTGTAAGTGGCTGCTGCATTGCAGTGCTGAAAAACAGGCTTTTCCAAATAGATTCTAGATTGAAGTGTGTTTGTCTTTATCTGTAGACTAAAATAGGCATCTACTTTAGAGGCTAATGTTTGGGACCCCAGGATGTTGGTTGGAAAGTGAAATTATTCCTATTGGAAATCCATGTATTCTATAATATTTTTGTGGTTCTTCAGTTACTAGTTCATAACTGTCTGATTTCCCCTCCTCCATAGGACACCATTTCATGCCGATGTCTTCCGCTCATACAGTTGGTCAGCCAATATCTGTGGAAAAAAGAAATGGCTGATCTTCCCTCCGGGACAGGAGGAGTTCCTGCGAGACCGCCATGGCCACTTGCCGTTTGACATCACCTCCCCAGAGCTGAAGAAGGGCAGCCTTTACCCCCGCTATGCCCAGAGTAGCCCTCCGGTTGAAATCATACAGGAAGCTGGCGAGATCATCTTCATCCCAAGTGGCTGGCACCATCAGGTTTACAATCTGGTAAGGGGCCTCTTTTGGACATTAACAGTATGTGGTGCTAGTGGTGACTTTAACGCTACATTCCTCAGTAGAGATCCTGTGTATCAGTGGCAGAGTATACGCTTGACATGAAAAAGAGCCCATATTCAGACTTTGAGAGTGTAAATAGTAGGATATTTGCCCAGGATGCTAATAAGTGGCTGCTCATCAGAGAAGAGAGTGCTCTGTGAAGTAGACCATTAATCTGACATGTCCTAAGACAGCTTCAGATGAAGAAATAGTGACAAGCAAGTTCAGTTTTGTTTTTTTGCAAACAAATTCACCAATTGGATCGCCAGATAGCCTGATCTACATGCTATGTCACGTTTGAGTTTTTTCCCCTTCAGGGGGCTGAAATATTTGCCAACAGTCCATGGCATTAAAGACACTCAGCTCATAGTTAAGGACTACATATAGGCAGTTGAAAGGCTGTGATCAGGGTTTGTGTTGTGTAAGGACTACATATAGGCAGTTGAAAGGCTATGATCAGGGTTTGTGTTGGGAATAGTTTCTTGTCATTGGCACTCAGTACTTGGACTTTAAATGATTAGTTCATTCGTGTTTGCATTCTGGGCTGCAGCCCTGTTCACTTTAGAGACCCAGCTGTATAGAACAGTAAGAGACCAGACCAAGACCTTGTAGAATTAAGAGAGAACTATTTGGCCTCTTTTTTCCACCCCCAGGAAGACACTATTTCCATCAACCACAACTGGGTGAACGGGTGCAACGTGGCCATCATGTGGAGCTTCCTCCAGGATGAGCTCGCTGCTGTCCAGCGGGAGATCAGAGAATGGAAAGACAGCATGGAGGATTGGCATCTACAGTGCCAGGTAGAGCAGCCGGCCATCTGCGGGTGTTTGGAGTAGAGGTAGACACACGTTAACAGTCGGGTGCCTGAAGTGATAAGTCATGCTAACGACACAGAAACAGGGGTTCGGTTTAAGACCATTATTTGGAACAACTGTGGTGACCGAACTGTTCTTTCACCTTCACAGGTATTGATGAAGTCTTACACAGGCATTGACTACAAGGAGTTCTACAACTTCCTCAAGATCATTGCGGAAAATCGGATTTTTGTCCTTGAAAACCACCATTCTGAGGAAGATGCCTCAAAGCACTCCTACAGAGCTGCTATCTCTGGCTTGGGGATGCTGCATGCAGTCTTTGATTTGAAAAGAACTGCAAAGGTCTTGACCTCTCTAAATGCCAATGAAGAATTCAAGAAACTGAACCCTGAAACCCTCTCCCCTCCACCTTCGGCGCTCTTGCACCGCCTGAAAGCAGCCATAGACACAGCCCTCCTCTAGTTCCATGATTCTGACCACTTGCAAAAACGCTGCTTTTGCAAGCTGGGTGCATGCTGATCCATCCTTTCCATCACCCCATTTAGAAGTCTTAAGCACAGTGAATTTCTTGGTGAATGGGGAATACAAGTCAGAGTGCTAGGGGGTTTAAAAGTGCATAGGAAACCAGCAAAGGAGGAGAAGTGGTAGCATCCCTTTAGTACACTTTGGTGGAGATGGTCCAGTAGCTTGTTGAGAACTAGCTACATGAATGTGGCTTATTTGTGCCAGTTGTTCTAAGCTAAGTCCTTGCATCCTGCAATACTCTAGGGCCTAGGCTCTTTCCTTTGCAGGAAGGCCCACTGAATGCAATGGAATACACTTAGGATTGTGCCCCTTGTTTCTTGTGGGGTAGGCTTTTAGGGCAGCACCAAGAGACATATAGCATCCATTTCAGGTTTTGGGTATGCTGGTGAAGAAAGAAGCATGTGTACTGTACCAGTAGGTATGTACAACTCACTTGTTCATAGTCCCCAGCAAGTCTCCCTTCTCTTCGCTGTGTAAGGGGGGCGGGGGGGTCAGGTGTATTCACCTCAGGCTCGGCACTACACGTTCAGGGACTCTGAGCAGAGGCAGCTCAGCGGGCCTGCAGGGTCCAAGCATGGCATCTGAAATATGAGTGCCCTCTCTCCAGATCAGCTGCGCCCGTTGTGAGGCAGCAAGTCCTCCTGCTAACCCTTCCTTTCTTTATCTGCCTTCACATATTCAGTGATTGCCAGAACAAGAAGGCCTAAGAATAGGTGTGCAGTTGGGTTGTTGTTTTTTTTTATTCCTAAATGGTGACACATTCCTTTCTTTATCTGCCTTCACATATTCAATGATTGCCAGAACAAGAACGCCTAAGAATAGGTGTGCAGTTGGGTTTTTTGTTTTTTTATTATTCCTAAATGGTGACACACTCTCAGTGCCTCAAGACATGTAGCACAATTATATCCCCACAGCGTTGGAAGCAGGGTGGGTTGGGGGGAGGTTGCCTTCCAGAGTTTGCTGCGCGGCAATCTCCACGCATCCAGCATTAACAGTCTAGGCCTCTTTCATGACTAAGATCTCGGTTTGTTCCTTTCAGACCCGTTCTCCGATTTGTCTGAATTGTTTCTGTACCTACAGAGCATGAGAACGACTGCAGTAAACTTCACAGGGAGTTACGCCGCAGCAGTTTACCAATTGCATGCCCGGACTGTGCAACTGCGGCTGCAGAAGAGCATGTTGGACACGACGTCTATCTTGGCACAAATTTCACAACTGCCTCAGTGACTTTTAAGTTACGCAGTTGTAGCTGTGTGACAGGATTTGGGCCAATGACGGGTAAGGAAGTGACTTTTAAGTTACGCAGTTGTAGCTGCGCGACAGGATTTGGGCCAATGACGTGTAAGGAACCCTAGAAGTAAGTCAGGGAGCAGAGCAGGGAAAGAGATGTACATTGGGGGAGTGTAGGAGGCGATAGAAACTCTTTGGTGCGATCTGGTGACTGAGAAGCTGAAGCTCTTAAAGCGGAGGATAACGCTGACCAAGGTAAAATAGCACTCCTGTGTACCCTTCAAAGAGTCCCATTTGCCTTTAGAGAAGCGCGTTCCCCTCCTTCAAAAGGCAGACCGTAGAGAAAAGTGGGGTGTGTGTAAGGAGAAAGGGTGGGGGCCAGCTTGTGCATCCCTTAGAAGCCTGCAATCTTTTAAAATTAGGCACAGCCCCCTCCAAGTGCAGCAGCTCTAACATACCAGCATTGCTCTCCTGTAACTGAGCACAAGTTGTCCTAGCACTGTTACACGTGTAAAGGGCTGGAAACCCTTTGTAGAAAAAGCAATTCCCCATGGAATCGTCAGGGGCTTCCTTCTAAATGGGGGACTGGCCGGATAGGTGTTGTTCCCCTTTGCTATGTAGTCTGTTAGACTTCCACTTGAACCCTTCTTCGGGGAATATTTTAAGCACTGATCCGAAGTTTACTCAATCCTTGACTGTTCTGCCCAGCTGTCCTCGGACCTTTCTGAAACTGCACATTAAAAATATTTCCGTGTCCGTGTTGGGTTCTGTCTTCCTTTCAAGCGGCTCATTTCAGGCTGATGTTGAAAATGCCCCGGTTTTGGGGGGGCAGGGAGTGGGTTGCTTGATATTTGCACTGGCCTTCCATTTTGCTCTGTGTTCGAAGATGGGCACGCCGACCAGGACTGAATTTGTGTTGTACTGTTTTGGGGAAGTGCCTGCAGTACCCTGCAAAAAGATCCCATTCCTGACTAGTGGGGATAGGCACAAGGATATAACTCATGTGTGGGCAAGGGGAGTGTGATGGGGTGCCATCAGATTCTGCCCTGCAGTCATCAGAGAGAGGCACAAATATCCCAGGTTTACTTGATGTTCCAGCATTTGAGAGAATAAGAACCTCTAAGGGTTGCTGTTCTCAGTGGGTCTGGCTGGTGCTCGCAGGCGCTCCTGTTCTGTCTCTCCCTCTCTGAAACTTGGTCCTCGGGGAGAGTCAGTGCATGCCATCCCCCACCTCTTCGCAACAAGCGGTTTGCCGAGATTTAGAATTGTGTGTTCTTTTTTATTTGTGATGTCTAAAGAGCTCGAGGTAACAGAAGATCGTTTTCCAACTGCAGCATGTATTTCTGATTTAATTTTGCTGCCCTGAAAATAAACAAGTATGGCATGTAATGGGAGTGTGGCATTGGGTAGAGACAATCCATTGTTTTCTCTCTATCACGTCACTGAATGCTTGTTTGTATCGTTTTCCATAAGCACGCCTGATTTGCTTGGGTTCTGAAAGCCACTGCATGTTTATACCTCTCCATGAGAAACAGAGAGAGAACTTTGAATTTGTGCCAATGAATGTCATGAGTCGATTGTGGAAAAGTAGCAATGACATTCTTCAAATTGTACAGATGTCTTTGAGGACAGTAAACTAGGCTCAGGTCTTATTTCTTGCGATAACATATCAAATACGCAACGGAGTGATTCTGGAACAATTTGGACAGTGTATCTTTAATATGTTCTCTTCCATTCATTGGGCAGCATCTGGAGAGCAGAAGCAATTCCATTCACATGCTAGGCAGCAGCTGTTGTCGCTCTGCAGCCGGCACAATAGATAAGAGCTTCTGGAGCAGAAGGAATGCAGGTTTTTTATCCTTCATGGTACCCAAAGAATGGTTAGTTAGCAGTGGGTGTATTTTAAAGGTAGTGTACCTCTACTGTGGCTACTACTAGTGCATCCTCAGTATGTTGAGATCTAAAATGTTCCCTCAAGATCAGACTGGAGTTCTGGCTAGGCTCTAGAGGAAAGAAGTTCTAATAAACACACACTTCTTCCTTTGTATTTGGAGGTTATCCAGTGAAAATATGGCACATACTCAGTATTTCAGACAAACAGTGTGATGTAGTAGATAAAGAGTGTTGGGTTGTAATTTGAGAAACCTGGGTTCAAATACTGATTGGCCATGGTTTGTATTTGGAGGTTATCCAGTGAAAATACGGCACATACTCAGTATTTCAGACAAACTGTGATGTAGTAGATAAAGAGTGTTGGATTGTAATTTGAGAAACCTGGATTCAAATACTGATTGGCCATGGAAACTCTGGGTGTGTGTGTGTGATGGCAATCTATTTCTTGAACATCTTCCATACCTGGAAATTAGGGTTGCTGTTCAGTCAGAAACAAGTTGATGGAATGAAACAACTAAACGTTTCAAGAAAAGGTGAATAGTTGAGGGGAAGCCAGAACTGCAACACAGATTATATGCTCTCTCTGTTTGGGATCACGTCCCAGAATCTGTAGGTGGAAGAATGTCAGGTAGCAAAATATAGAATGGACGAATATATTTCTTCTTGGCAACAAGTTCATATGTATTCTCGAAGGCTTTCACGGCCAGGATCTAATGGTTGTTGTGGGTTTTTCGGGCTCTTTGGCCATGTTCTGAAGGTTGTTCTTCCTAAAATTTCGCCAGTCTCTGTGGCCGGCATCTTCAGAGGACAGAGTGATGTCCTCTGAAGATCCCGGCCACAGAGACGGGTAAAACGTTAGGAAGAACAACCTTCAGCACACGGTTCCCATGTCTTTACTCCTAATTCTATTTTGGCAAACCAGAGTTGATAGCACTTGGATTCGAGCCATTGAATTGGGTAAAACATCTTAAAGCGTCAATCTAATCCTTTGTTTTTAGAACAGTTTCAACACATGTGTGTATCTTCCTTCAGCTCATGAATTAAGTCCACATGTTGATATGAAGAAATGCAAAATCAATCGACTAGCTGGCCTCTCGTCCGCATGTTAGCGCCGGCTTTTCTGATCAAGACATTTTAGTTAGAGTAAAACTAACTACGATAAAACTGCTCAGTTAAGCTCAGTTTATTTGTGTCATACAAAATTATCTCTGGAACACTGTAACAAGATTTATTTCAATACCAATGGGCTTGTAATAATTTCAAGCAGCCCTCTTATTTGACTCAGTATATTTGTATGAGAAATGAGGCAGTAGTATAGACATTTATGCAGTCTCCGCTTATTAAAAAAGCATCAGTCTTTGTTCAGTTAATTCTAAAAATGTATAAAACCTTAACACTTATGCTGGTTCAATAAAATCAGCCTTTTTATGAGCAGTTGCTTTAAGCAACCATCATTTTACGTCATCAGGATTGATGGGGTCCAAGACAGACAGCTTGTACAGAGAGAGGACCGGTTGAACATGGAACCGGACACGTGCCGATATTGTCATCAGCATTCCAAAATTGGGCTTAATAAAATAGGGTTGGTTTTCATTAACCTTGTCAGTTCCTTTATCAATTTTTCAACACCATGTAGAGGAAAAGGGGGTGCTCCGTTAAGAATTAATCACTTTGGACGTCGTGAAACCATTTAAAAATCCAAGACGTTTCCTTCAAAAGCTGTGATGGCATCAGAGCTTCCTCTTACAATTCCACTCAAGAATTGGGTCAAGAGTTTCAGCTGATTGTATGCAGATTACTACAGCCACCCCCTCCTAATCTGTGCCCTAGCATAAAAAGAGGAGTTAAAAATGGGTGTTGGGTAGTGTGAAGTAGTACCTGGAAGATCCCTTTTGCATCTGTTGCAAAAGCTGTCGTGAACTCTTACCCCAAAAAGCTGTGGGTTTGTGCCATGTTCGAAATAAAGGATTGCATGCCAGCAATAGCCAATCAATTGAATCAGTTGCCTCTGACATTAGAAGAAAGGGCAAAGGATATATTGTTAAGTAACTGGAATGTATACAGTACCAGAAAGAAGATTAAAAGCAACACTTTCCTCTAATCTTGCTGAACTTCACCCCAAACCAAGACAGTGTGCTCAAAACTGTTGCCTGCATGGTGGGCCATGTTGAACAGAGGGGCTGTTTGCTAGATGTTCACCTTACCAACAGGCCGTTGCAAAAGTGAGCGGATTTTGATCTCTGTTCAGCATAGATTTGTTGGAAGTACATCCAGGTCGCTGGGTTGACCACAGGAACAATGTTAACCATGTTATGGATGTTAAGAATAGGGCATATTACGATAAAACATCTTCTCCCCCAGCCTTCCAACGAAGCACAAGCTACCAAAGAAATCATAAAAACGAAGGGTCGGGAATATCACGGCAGGTGAAAAAAGGTCAGAGGGTCTTGTTAAATATTGCACCAACCCAAATGAGATTGCAACGAGCAAATTCTTGGTTTTGACAGCCTTCGCAGAAACTTTGAGTAAAGTCAGGATTACACTGCTCACAAACAATGGCTAAATTCCCTTTCCAGGAGAGATCCTAGTACTGAACCACCAGCATCCGACTAAGCCCACCTCCTTGGATCCGCGCTCTCTCAACCTCAGGTTCAAACAATCTTAATATATATATCAATTTCAAAGAAATTGCAGACTTAAAAACCAGACGTGCTTCCCATAGGAAAGAAAAATACCAATAACAGCAGCAACATGCTCCTCGTCTTCCCATCGTCACAACGACAACTCCAGTCCAATGCTTCTCTGAAGTGTGCAACCAAGATCCTTTTCATGTGCCATGTTCAAAAATCTTCAGATGCCTGCCAGTTCTGAGGGAGCGTTGTCTCTTTCTGGATGAACTGATAGCAGGACTGGCAAAGGGAGAGGAGAAAGAGTCAGTGATTTAAATTTTCGCTCTCCTTTGCTCTGTTCCATAGGTGCATAAAAGCCCTGTCTGTTGCATTAATCCACAGTTAATTGAATCCAACTTCAGTCCCCCAAATCTTCAGATAGAATCATAGAATCACAGAGTTTGAAGAGACCACGGGGAGTCCAACCCCCAGCTGCAGGAACTCCATCAAAGCATTCCCGACATGGCCATCTGGCCCCTGCTTAAAAACCTCCAAAGAAGGAGACTCCACCACCCTTCGAGGCAGCCTATTCCACTGCCAGACAGCTCTGACCATCAGGAAGTTCTTCCTGAGATTCAGGTGGAATCTCTTTTCCTGTCATTTGAAATCACTGCTCCTTGTCCTAGTGCCTGGAGCCGTGGAAAACAAACCTGTCCCTTCCTCAACATGACATCCTTTCAAATATTTAAACATGGCTATTGTGTCCTCTCTCACCCTTTTTGTAAGGCTAAACATTCCCTACTCCCTAAGCCGCTCCTTGTAGGACATGGCTTCCACACCATTGACCATTTTGCTCACCCTCCTCTGGACACGTTCCAGGTTGTCAACATCCTTCTTGTACTGAGGTGCCCAGAACTGGACACAAGACTCCAGGTGAGGTCTGACCAAAGCAGAATAGAGTGGTACTATCACTTCCCTTGATCTAGACACTATACTCCTATTGATGCAACCAGGAATTGCATCAGATTGGAAAAGACAGAAACCCTAGAGAGCTGCTTCTAGGCAGCATCTGCCTACAGTAAGACCCCTGTATCCACAGAATCAGTGTCTGAGGCTTTACTTACCCATGGTATGAAAATATTAAAAATGTTAAAACATCCTGAAAAAAATAATTTCATGTGTATTACCAGAACCAGCCCCTAGAGGGAGCCAGAGACCATGCTATGAATATTTGTTAGTGAAGAATACACAGCACTGCCTCTAGTGGCCAGTTCTGGTAATGCATAGAAAAATAGTTTTGTTCGTTTTTCCCTTTTACCATGCTATATACATACTGTTCACTATTATCTGCAGTTTTCAGTATCCACAGGGGCTTAGAATCAATCCCCAGAGGATATGAGGGGTGGGTTTCTTGCTGTACTTTGGATTTCTAGATTTTTTTTTGAGATTTCATTCATGGAAGCCCCCGTGACATAGCTGACAGTAAGGACAAGTTGAAGATCTCTAGATGGCTAGCACTTCCCCACTGCCTGTCGCGAAACTGTACAGCAAGATCCTGCAGTGGAACTTGGAATTGTTTAGGCATACGCTACCCTTTGGGTCCTTGTTTGCTCTCCAACAACTGTTGGGCAGGGCCTTCACGGGTGGCTTGTGGGAGAACACACAACAGAGCCCCAGATGACCCACTGGTCTAATCCCACAGGACTGTCATCTATCTTTGATGATAATCACGCACTGTCAAGTCACCTTTGACTTCACTGCGACCTTTGCCAGGATTTTCCAGGCAGAAAACACTTGGAAGTGGTTTCACATTTCATTTTTCTTGCCCAAGGTCACTGAGGCTGACCCTTCTTTCCTGGAGGCCCAATGGGGAATTGAACTCCCAGCGTTCTGGCTCCGTCGTGGGATATCTAAACCCATGAGCTATCCAGCCAGCAAATCTAGACTTGCAATTACAAGAGATCGAGAGTGAAAGTTGTAAACTCATCCTTAACTAATCAGCTGGTGCTTGTTACCTTAGGAGAGCAGAAGGCAAAGGAGCAAACGCTGGAGGCCAAAGGGGATGTACGCAAACATACATGGACAAATTCATACACACCCAGATGCAGGCAGGGAGCATCTTTCTGCCTTAGGGTGTGGGTGGATAAACTGAGATAGCGATCACCCCAAAATCACGCACTGTCAAGTCACCTTTGACTTAACTGCGACCTTTGCCAGGATTTCCCAGGTAGAAAACACTCGGAAGTGGTTTCGCATTTCATTTTTCTTGCCCAAGGACAAATTCATACACACCGAGATGCAGGCAGGGAGCATCTTTCTGCTTTAGGGTGTGGGTGGATAAACTGAGATAGGGCACACCCACCTTGTCCTTCTGGATGACCGCCCACTGTTCTTACCTCCAGGGCTGTAAGCAGGAAATCATACATCCCCCCTTCGCTCGCTGGGTCCATCAAATCTCTGATCAGGTGAATCTCTGCTCCTAAATGTTGTATGCTGGAATGGAGGAAAGGTCTGTGTTTTACAACGAAAGTGTTTGGTTTATGGCATCTTCGAGACTTAACTAATTCATTGTGACCCAAAGGTCTGTAGACTTCTGTTCTCTTCAAAGTCGTGAAGCATCATCCTCAGTCTGCAGAGATTTAAGGAGGTTCATGTGCGGCTAACCCATGGCCCTCCAAAAGCTGTCTGACTTCAACTCCCATCAGCCCTAGCCAACATGCGGCATCATGGGAGTGGTAGTCCAGTGACATCCAGAGTGCCAGATGTTAACCACCCCAGATTAACTAGATAGAAAACATAAGCAGTGAATGCAAACAACCTATCTCGCCGATGAGAATAAATATATCTCAAAATATGAACAAACATTTCAAGAGACTATTCACAATAAACTGGCATTCGTACACCTAATTTCCAGTGATAGTAGGATTAAAAACCCAGGACAAGATTGAGATCACAGTTAGCAGAAATGAACTTCTAGACAAGCTTTAACACAGTTCTTTTGTATCTATGATAAAAGTGTCATGGGATAAACCGATCACCTTACATAGCTCTACAAACGGGTTCTATCCCATAAACAGTATGTTTCTTTTGTGGGAGTTCCTTAGTATCGTTTTTATCTGCTGTGATCTACCGCCAAATAAGCTGGTCTTGGATTTCTTCTGAAAAAAGCTGGGGACCCTCACGGGAAAAAGATTACACCAAAGAAGGCCAGAGAATAAAAGGAGGAGCCCATTTCAAGACACAGCGTGTTTCTGAATTCGTACAGGTGAGGTTGCAACGAATCATCTGGATGCTAAAGAACCTTGTTTTCAGGGCGTCCCCAAACGATCAGGCAGGGAGGTAATTAATTAATTAATTAATTAATTAATTAATTAATTAGATTCATACCCCACACTGTCTGGCCACTCTAGGTGGTTCCTTGCCTACCTTGCGCGGGTTACAACATACATCAGCAACGGCAAAAGGTCATCCATCGGCAGGCTGTACTCTTTCCCCAGGACCCGAAGGACCGTCTTCTCAATCTCCTCGTACGTGTTTTGGAGGATGCCCAGTTTTTCCCACGGATCGACGGTCGTACTGCGGCGATAGGGAGGCAGTGAATGCCAAAGTGAGTGGTAGAACAAGACACACAGGCTAGGAGCCACGCGTTGGCAACAGAGACATGGATCAGGGCCTCTCCCAGAGTGCCACGCACAAAGGTGCCCCTTGGACACGGTACAGAACCAAGCCTCTCAAGATTGCCACCTTTGTTCCGGTCAGGAGCCGAGCTGAGACAACCGTTATAGCACCAGGCTATTTAAAGGATCGCATCAACCCATACGAGTCTTCTCGGCTTTTAAGATCTGGGAAGGCCCTTCTCTCGATTCCACCACTTTCCCAAGCTTGCTTGGTGAGGACACGAGGCAGGGCCTTCTCGGCGGTGGCTCCCAGGCCCCCAAGACCTCTTGACCTTCCATCGTCAGGCCAAGACCTTCCTCTTTAAGTAGGCTTTGAAGCAGCAAATTATCTCAGGAATGCCGATTTTTAAATGACAGGGTTTTACATGTTGTTTTAACTGTTTCTAAACTAGATTTTTAAACAATCTTAATGTATGTTTAATTTAAAACATTTTTTAAAAACAATTAAACATAGTATATATAAGATATATATTTGGCCCTGCAGGCCATCCTTATATAGAGAGAGAAATTGAAATATAATAGTGGCTTGCAGTAATCAAACGACTGGGCATCTGCACTTGATCTAGCCCTCTCTCACCTCAAAATATTTTTTTCTTTGGAAAAGATAGGACTACTAAAAACCCCTTTTGTACCTTGTGGTGGTCAAAATCTTAAAAAAAAACATTTTGGGGTTTTTTGTGGTCATGGCAAACTTCTCTCTCATATGCAGCAGCAAAGATGGGCATCAAATGTCAGTCTGGAAAACATTTGTGGGAATCCCTTGGCAAGAATTTGGAATATTGAAAAAACTTTCATTGATTAAGGTTTTGATGATTTTCCGTAGCCCATCTCGGGGGTGGAGGGTGGGGAAGAGAACCAGTGAAGAGCCAAGCATTCTCATTTCAGCTCTACGAAGGAAGAGTAGGACTAAAAGCAACAGATAAGATAGAGTGTTCCTGCTGCTGGGTTTTCTACTGCATGGGAGTGGGAGAAGTGAAACTACATTCTCATGCGTGACAACTTACATCAGTGTCTGTAGACATTCAGTTGCAGAAAGGAAGCACCGATCTTTGATGAGGGATTGTCTCTTTAAAGCAAATAAAAATAAAAAAGGAAGTATCAAGTATTAATGAGACCACAAGATGGTGTCGCAAACAACTCAACCTCCCTAGCTCCAGAGCGAGACAGAGGTATGAGGGCTTGTCCTTTTCATTCCATACCAACCTCTGATTTGGCCAACAACACCTTCCCCCCCCCCAAGTAGACAATCATACCTACCGAAAGTACAACTGGACCTGGGGGAGTTTTTTCAAGGTGTGTGTGGGGGGGGTCAGAGGTTGGGGCCAGGGTAGCACTGGCACCATGTTTTGGGGTGTGTGCGTGACAGGGTACATTTTTGCTTCTCCCTGCTGTAAATAATCTGAAAAGGGACCGTATGAGGTGGCAGGTGAAATCACTGGACCATGTGAATTTCACAGCCAAGAAGGGGAATTTCCAGATCGGTCTATCAGCCCTGGACTGGAATTCTATGTAATGCTCAGAGGCTACGATTTTCTTTGGAGGGCTTCGTAAGAGACACACAGTAGAGAGCCGAGAGGAAAACTGGCCCCCGAGAGCATGCGATGAAGCAGAAAGATGCCGGAGAAAAAATTCAGGGGAGGACGGGTTGAAACTATGAAAACTACCATCGTGATGGGGTGAAAGTTGGAGACCTTTGAAAGGGAGTTAGAGAAATCTAGGGATGATGAGATGGTCAAGAGCTACTCATTAGGAAATCTGTGCTGACATGATATTTGATTCTAAGCATGGTGGGGTTGGGGGTGTACGTGCATACCACATACCCAATTCCTTTTGCAACCTCGCATGCTGCCTATAGCAAGTGTGGCTAGGAGGGACGTTTCTGGATTGAAGTGGCTGCCAATCTATATGGCATGAACCAATCGCTCCTTCCCTGCCTCTGAATTCAGAGAGAGCCCCGCCTCTCTGCCCAGTGCTTCCCCCCTCTCAAGTATCCGTTGAAGTCTGTTGTTGAAATCCGTCATGTTGTCTGTTTGCTGTTCGATCGATTCCATGGTAAGTCATGACACCTCTCACTTTTAGGAGAAGAAAGTCAGGAAGACAAGAATTGTCTCAATCTTTCCCCTATAACCATCTTTCCGATATGTGCCATCCCTAGGCAATCAAGTTTCAGAAAATGATATTTCCCTCCTACTTTGAGAGTTACTGGAACAAAGTTGACCTCACATCCCAGGAGGCAAGAGTCCTCAATCAATATTAACAAACTAGCTTCTCAAAGAAAGAGACGTTATAGCCTAGCCCTATCCTTGCCCTGCTAGTTTTCTGCTTGCGGGGAGTTTTATAACAAGGAGAAAATCTCTTTTTTTCCCCACAGGTGGAAATGCATTATTCCCCCTGTGGTGTGGGTAGGACCATCGAATTATACTAAAGGTATACAGCATGCTGAAGGCAAGACATAACTGGGAAGCAACTTACCTGGTTACTTGTCAGTACGAGATCCTTGAGGGGCCACAAATGTCTGGAATGACAGGAGCAGAAGAGTCAAACATTTTCAGAAAGGTGGAAGAGAAGCTAAATCATTCCTACCTAAGGAGGTGTGACTTAGTGCCAAATACAAGAGAATGTTCTCAAATACTGATCCCAAGAGCCAAATTTAACTCAAACAGCCATAACTCAAGATTTTAACTAGACAAACACCCCTCCATCATCCCAGATAATATCCTAATTCATACAATGAATGACGGGAAGTCCTTGATGTGAATGGATGGGGTGTGCTGGGGGATGGGTTTAAAGGCTCACTTGTAATGTGACCAATTTCCAGAAGTCGGTGCTGTCGGAGAAGAAGACAAAACAGTCTGCCTTAATACAGATGTCGAAAAGCAGTGTTTTGACCACTACTGCGGCATCAAATTCAGCAGCAGTGTCAAGGGGTGGACAGACCAGCCGCTGCATGTTGAACATCCTTGATTTATAGACTTCCCCGCCACGAGAGGAGATGTCAAGCCAGTGGCTTTTAAAGTTTAGTAGACGCAGTGATTTCCCCTCTGGCCTTTTGGGCTCCATGATCCGCAATCCCAGCATAAAACCTCCCGGGGTTCTCCTCTAGAGCAAAGCACAGGACCTTGCTTTAAGATGAACGGATCTCTAGATTTCTGGTGTTCAAAACCAGAAGCGAATCTCTATGTGCCATCCGGTTTAGGACAAAAAAAGAGAGAAGAGGGTAAAATATCATTTTTTGGGAGGTGATGCAACCTTGGCTTGGCCCTCTTTGGGTTACGCAGTTCCATCTTTTGCTTTTAGTTCATTTTAACTTAAAGCACTTTAATTTTAGAATAGACCAATTGACAGGTCTGGAAGCCCGTTTTGGCCGTGCCTCGTTTCTGAGCTGCGCAGCACGTTAAGCCCGGAGCCCTGGAGACGAGACAAGCAGAACCAATAAAACCCTCCATCCTGCCAAAGCAACTCACCTCTGGACATCCAGGAACTCCAGTAATTTAACATCAGGAAACAGGCTGAGTTCCGCAATCCCTTGGCAATAAAGTTCATCTTCCTTCTTGTGATAAAGCATGTACAACATCAGGAACTCCGGGTAGAAAGACGGAAGGATGAGGGGCAGGATAAGACCCGGTCCGTTGAGATCCCTGAATCCAAGGGAGAACAGGGTCAGCTCTTCCAAATGTTTCACTCACATCGGCTTGTCTGTTTAGCTGCCAATTTCAGTAGCTCTGGACTGGGATTAGATCAACTCACCCAGAGGACTGAAATTTTACACATGAGGCCATACACACTTCTGTACAGTGGTTGCCGGGAACATGGACAGAAAGCTACCGTTGGCGCCCGTTGGTGGGTTTCCTGAAAGCATCGCTATGGAAAGAGGGTGCTGCACTAGGAAAATCAGTTGGGCCTTATCTGGTGTGGCTCTGGTGTTTTCAAAACATAACTCACACATGCACTGGTGATATGCCACCATCCTTCAAAGAGGTAGAATCATAGAAGAGTGAAGAGTGAAGTTGGAAGGAGACTCCAAGGCCGTCATGTCCAACCCCCTGCTCAAGTCAAAGGATCTCTGCTCTGCTCAAGGCAGGAATCCAAGCCAAAGGATCTCTGCTAGGAGGTTCACTTCAATGCCTCCAACGCTGGAGCATTCACCACCTCCTGAGGTCACGGGTTCTGTTGTCATACTGCTCTAACAGTTGAGAAGTTTTTCTTGATCTTCAGCCAAAATCTGGCTTCCTGTACCTTGAGCCCATGGTTGCATGTCCTGGTGGAGAACAGATCCCGCCCCTCCTATGAAGGACAGCCTTTCAAGTCTTTGAAAAGTGCTCTCCTGTCTCTCCTCCGTCTTCTTTTCTCAAGGCTAAACGTGCCCCAGTTCTTTCCGTCCATCTTTCCTCCTAGGGCTTGGTCTCCATCCCCCATGATCATCATCCTTGTCGCCCTCCTCTGAACTTGTTCCAATTTGTCACCGTCCTTCTTGAAGTGAGGTGTCCAGAACTGGACAAAGGACTCCAGATGAAGGGGCCTAACCTGTATTGAACAGAGGGGGACTAGCACCTTGCGAGAAGTCCAGCGTGGGCCTTTCTCCCAGTCTAACCTGTTTGTCCTCAACGACTTTAAAAGGTAGATTAAGCTAAGAAGGGGGAGCATAGGCAACTGCCCTAAATTACCCACTGGGCTTCCCTAGGTCTGATGGTTGCTGTGGATTTTCTGGGCTGTTTGGCTGTGTTCTGAAGGTTGTTCTTCCTAACGTTTCACCCACCTCTCCGGCCGGCCTCTTCAGAGGACCGGGGTCAGAACTCTGTCTGTGCTCTGGGTCTCCTTAATCCTAATCAGACAACCAGGATAGCTCAGGGGGTTGAGGTCTCTGGCTATGGAGCCAGAGGTTGGGAGTTTGATTCCCCCACTGAGCCTCTATGACAGGGCTGGAATTTGTGATCCAAAGAATCCCTTTCAGCTCTGCAGTTCGATGATGATGATGATGATGATGATGATGATGATGATGATGATGATGATGAACCTAACCATTGCACTGTGCAGGTTGTCTTTAAAGCAGTGGCCATAGGCAGCAAAGTGATGGTGTCCATAAAATAGACAATTATTTCTTTATGATGGGGGGGGGAGGAGAGAAAGACCACCTATTCTGTAGATAATTAAACCATTCCACCCAATTACCTCTCCTTCGTGTCTTCTTCTGGATTTTGATCTTTCACATCCAGAGCAAGATGCACCAGGCCCCTATAAAGAGCAAACAGGAGGGGCGTGGGGGGGAAAACAAGGTTTAAATCAGGTTCCCATTCAGGTTGCAGCCCCCTCCCACCACCGCCACCCTCTCCTTTGAAACTGGTCCCACACAAGGATTCCCAGGGTCTCCACCTTGGAGAAGAAGGAACATTTAGGGAGAAATCTGCCTGAAAATTTAAGTGAAAAATTCCAACTACTGGAGTGAAGTTTTCTACTGCACCCCCTTCCTCTAACCAGCTTTGAATACACTCCATTTGTCCGTTCGTTCATTCGTTTGTTCGTTCATACTACAAACATTTTTGGTCCTTGTTGAGGATTGGTTTAGGCTTCGGTTGCAGAGCCAAAAGTTGGGAGTTCAATTCCTCACCGGGCCTCCTTGACGGGGGGCTGGACTAGATGATCCCACAAGGTCCCTTCCAGCTCTGCAGTACTACTACTAATTACACTATGATGATGAAAAGACTCTCACATCTTCTTTTTAAAAAGGCAATTAAAACCTCACCGTCACCCTAGCATGCTGTTAGCTCTTTCCCCTTATTTTCTCAGCAGCCTCATTTCGGCTTGATTTCAGGTAATATTCATGCCTTGAGCTTAGGAGGGGAGACTGAATTGCCTAAATCGAGCACCAACCCACCCAGGGGGGCACAGCCACGAGCCAAGCTGAGGATAGTAAAACAAAGCTTTCCGAGCATCGGGGTGCCCCTTAACAACCACAGATGATGGATGGAAGATCTACCCTTCCAGTGGATCATGTAAAAATTAAAGAACAAGGTCACATTTCCAAACACTGAACCTGTGTTTCCTACAAGATTGATGACAACCCCATAAAAGCTAGTGGGGTTCCTTATTCATTAACAACAACAACAACAACAGCAACAGCAACATGTGCCATCAAGTCAATTGTGACATATGGAGACCCTTTCCACGGTTTCCCAGGTAGAGAAGATTCAAGCGCATTACCCCTTCCTTTCCTCTAGGTGGCAGCCTTGGGACTGTGCAGCTTGCCCAAGGCTACCCAGGCTGGTTCTACTCACAGGAGGCACCGTGGAGGAATCAAACTCCCAACCTCTGGCCCTGCAGCCAAACACCTCACCAAAGAGACCCAGCCAGTCTACTCACATCTACACATCATCCATATTTCTCTCCCCAAACCTTGTTAAAGCCTCTTTGGCAAGTTTCTTGACCGGCCACTGCCATCTAAAGGGAGAGATGCGCGGCTCCCCCCCCTCCAGGAAAAAACAGGTCACCCTACAATACCTACTGATAAAATTCCCAGATCATCTTGGCGTAATATTTGACCTCCTCTTGGGCCATGGCCAGGAGGTGCTTGTTGGCCCCGATCCCCGAGTAGGTGGCCTGGAAGACGGAGGTCAGGGCCTTCAGCAGCTTTCCTAAAGGGTGGAGGGAGGTCCTCAAAGCCTGAAAGAGAGGGAAATAAAAGTGGCTTTATACCTCTTGGGTCCCTCCAAAGCTGGGCGACCATCAAGCCACAAAAGGGGAGACCGAGGAAGCCTTCTCCTTGACGTGCTTGGAGACAGGCAGACCCAGAAGCATCAGAATGACTTGGAGGGAGGGTTGCTGGTAGGGCAGGATGAATCCCCCCCCTCTTCCTGGCTAGAGTCCCACAGGCAGAATGGCTTCTCCTCCAACCACTACTGTCAAATAATATCACCAGAAGCCTTCAAGTCAATTCTGACTTCGGGCGACCCTTTTTACGGGATTTCCAGATAGAGAGAGTACTCAGAAGTGCTTTACCCCTTCCCTTCCACTGGGGGGCACTGTGGGATGGGGCAGCTGGCCCAAGGCCACCCAGGCTGGCTCTTCTCCCAGAAGGCACCATGGAGGATTCGAACCCCCAACCTCTGGCTCCACAGCCAGAGACCTAAACCACTGAGCTATCCGGCAGTTTCTCCATTGACTCAATAATACTCTTAGAATTGCAGAGCTGGAAGGGACCCTATGGATCATTGAGTCCTGGTTCAGTGGGGAACTGAACCCACAACCTCTGGCTTCCCAGCCAGATACTTAACTCGCTGAGCTATCCGACCAAAACTCCATTATGGATTACAATTCCCCAATCCTCCAGTGGCCATGCTAGAGAGGGTGCAGAGATTTGGGAATTATAATCTCCCTAAATAGGGTATGTGAGAGAGACAAAGGGCGGGAGAGAGGGAGGGAGAGAAGAGATCTACTGATTCTAAAGGTCCTTAAGATGTCAAGAAAATACAGCTCTATTATCTCCTGAGTGTTCCTACAGTGGCCCAAAGACAAGCATCACTGCCTGTTCAGTTCTATGCAAGACCCGCACTCGTGGCTGTCATACCTGTTCCAAATAGTTCTGCATAGCTTCCTTCTCCTGGTGTTCGACTAGCTCTTCTAAAAAGTCAGCCTTTCCAGGAGCCTCTTCAGTTCCTCTAGAAGACAGAGATGAACAGACTGTTAAGGATGCTTACATGTCCTTTGCCCATTTTTATATATATATAATGTACCAACCAGAGTTTTAAAACAAAGCAATCATAGCTGTTTACGTGGCAAAGCCAAACCATCTTTCTGACAACCAGACCCAACGTGGCAGTGGACTGAACTCAAGGCTGGCCCTACTATGGGGTAGAAGGGGGCAACGGCCTCAGGTGGCAAATCCAAGGGGGCAGTAGCAACAGCAGCCCCTCCCCTGCATCTCCTGATCCCCAGGGCCACATCTTCCTGCTCAGAGGCACAGCTCTGTGTACCACACGGTAAACAACAGAATTATCCCAAGTTGGATTGTCCTAAACAGGATGGCATTGAGGTGGCCCGTGTCATTTGGGGTGATCCCTATGTCCACATGCAAGAATTGGGTAATTTCAGGAAAAAAGAAAAAGAAAAAAACACCCACACTGCACCTCAAGTGACCGTATTTAGCACATTCTTCCCTTTAAATTTCCTTATCTGGGCTAAATATTTCTTCCTCCACAGGGGAATGGGAGGAAATTGAAAGCTTCCTCCCACTCCACAGGGGAGTGGGAGGAAACTTTCAATTTACTAATAACTGACGAGATCCTGAAATGGCTTAAGCAAGGTGACAGCTTAAGCCATCCACTTTGGCTTGATCTCAGTGAATCAAACCAAAATGGAGTGATTTTACCTACATTAAAAAAGTGGCCTCTGACAGGGACCCAAAAAGTGCATGTAATCATGGATAAGGTGTGGTTTGCAATTATCTGTACATTAGATGGTTGCTGGAAAACAGAGTGAACCAACCCATCTGCAAAGCAGACCAAACAGCGAGACAAAGCCCCTTCCAATGGCATCCTTACACCTTCAAAACCAGGCTGTTCCTCTTACGGGAGGAACACAAGCCACAGTTAGGGCAGAAGCTTTCAGTACAACTTCCTCCTGCATGGGGAGGAAGCTTTCAGTACAATTTCCTCTTGCACCGGGAGGAAGCTTTCAGTTCAACTTCCTCCTGCATGGGGAGCAGCAAGATTACCTGTGGCTGACCTTATTTGACCTTCGGGACAAAAGGTTTTGTTTTCCACCTTGAAAGAGGCACTTGTGGAAGCACAGAAGCGTGCACGCCAATACAGCCATTCCAAGCAGATGATCGTTTCAGCAATGACGTCAAACCCACCAGAACTGAAAAAGTTACTTTTTCTGTCTACCTTTCTCAGACCTGCCCAGCCAGCATATGCTGTTTGCAGATTCTGGGAGCTGCTTTTCCAAGCGGCGACCCGCACGGGCACGGCAGCACCAAGACCCTCCTCACCTGTGGCAAAAGAGGTATTCCTGAGACTTCCGCAGCTCACGGCTCGTCTGTACGTGGAAGCCCATGAAGGCCTCCTCCATTTCAGCTTGACCTCCTGAGGAGACGAACTCCCGGAACCGGCTGAAGAGTCCTTCCCACCGTCGTTCTACTGGGAACTCTTCCTGACCCAACTGGCTGGACAAAGAGAGAAGTGGGGTGTGTTTTTAGATTAGATTTCTAATGGACAAGGCTACACAAGCATCTTCCATCATTCTGGGGGGCTTCAGAAGTAA